TTCTGATATCCCTCCCTCCAATGAGCAGTCGGGCAAGAAAACATAATCAAAGCCCTTCTGACAAAGAGTCATCCAGCCATAGATACAGATAGATCGATATGATTCACACACACACATACACACATATGGCAGATATAGTATATAGTATCCTTGGTGAAGGAAGTTGGACTGGATGGCCTTAAGGCAGTATTTCTCAACCAGGGAGTCGGGACCCCTTGATACACAAGGGGGTATCAGAAGGGTCGCCAAAGACCACCAGAAAACACAGTATTTTCTGTTGGTCATGGGGGTTCTATATGGAAAGTTTGGCCCAATTCTATCAGTGGTAGTGCTCAGAATGCTCTTTGATTGTGGGTGAACTATAAATCCCAGCAACTACAGATCTGAAATGTCAAGATCTATTTCCCCCAGATGCCACCTGTGTTCACATGTGGGCATATAGAGTATTCATGCCAAGTATGGTCTAAATCCATCATTGTTTGAGTCCACAGTGCTCTCTGAATGTAGGTGAACTTCAACTCCAAAACTCAAGATCAATGCCCACCAAACCCTTCCAGTATTTTCTGTTGGTCATGGGAGTTCTGTGTGCCAAGTTTGGTTCAATTCCATCATTGCTGGAGTTGAGAATGCTTTTTGATTGCAGGTTAACTATAAATGCTAGTACCTACAACTCCAAAATGTCCAGGCCAATTCCCCTCAAAACCCACCAGTATTCAGATTTGGGCATATCAGATATGCATACCAAGTTTGGTCCAGATCCATTATTGTTTTCATTCACAACGCAGAACTACAACTCCGAAATGACAAAGTCCAGTGAATGAAAATACATCCTGCATATCAGATATTTACATTACGATTCATAACAGTAGCAAAATTACAGTTATGAAATAGCAATGAAAATAATTTTATGTTTTAACATGAGGAACTGTATTAAGAGGTCACAGCATTAGGAAGGTTGAGAAACACTACACTATAATGTGTCCCAACACAAGTTTGGAAAGCTCTGGGTTACAGTCTCCTTGTAAGAGATACAGACACATATATTAATTGTAATATCGAAAGATACAATGCATTTCATGAAAACCTTTATTTTTTTCTAAAAATATAGGATTTATTGTTTATTTCACAGAAACAGAGGTTTTCTCTTATCTTTGCGTGGTATTTTTACCTGTTTCAAATAGTCTGCAATATATAAGGCCACTCAGTTAATTTACCTGTTGTTCAGTTAACGTGGATGTTCTTTTTAAAATTCTGTTTTCTTGCAAACAGGTCAAATCTGGATTTGTTTTCTTTATACATTTAAATATCTTTCCTTTAAGTATCTTTCCGAAACGTACCCAATACTTTTTCATGTGAATGTTGTAAACCTCTGAGGCCTCCCAAAGTCAGTTTCATGTTCAGCTCTAGCAAGCAAAGCAAAGCCCAAAAGGCTACCATTGCTTTTAAAATTAATGGCCTCTCACCATTAGGAGAGGGAAGCAGCAGGCAGAAAGCAGAGTTGGCTGGGAAAGGGGCTGAGAAAATACAGAATTCTGGGAAATATATTTTGGAAAGGCAAGGAGCCCTATGTCACATAATTCAAAAAGCCCTGCCCTAAACTACATTTCCCAGAATTCTGCTCAGCAGCTGAAATCCGCAATCAGGGTAGGGGAGAGATTTGTCCTTCCATAGCAGCAGCCAGCCAGACTTCCAATAAATTGTTGAATCTGCAAAGAGGGTGACTGACTGATACTTCTAGTAAGTAAATCTCTGTGCTGAGCTGGGAAGAAATCCCTAAATGTAAGTTCTTTTGGTTAATATGGGAGACATTCAATGAGATAGCTGTTGTTGCTTTTTTAAAAATGTTTTTGTCAAACTTTAAAAAATTACCTAAATCAGTAGATGTATGAATTTTTCTGAAAGTTGTGGGGAATGATCTTATGTTATCTTGTGTCATTGCAGAGCAAATTCAGGGAGATAGCTCTTGTAGTTTTTTAAAAATGTTGTTTATAAAAAACTTCAAAAATTCTCCAGTAATCCCTGGATAAGTTAAATGTTCGGAAACCTGATAGGCTAACAGTGATAAATGGGTTCTACCAATGTAGCAAGTCTCACCCCAATAGCTGTAAAAATGATGGAGAAAGGAGCCCCTGAAGTTTACCCACTTGACAAAAAAGTAACAAATTTTCGTTACTCTCATTATAGTAACAAATGTTTCAATAACTATACTTTAGAAATACTTTAGAAGGGAAGCACTGCACCCTCTAATTTTGTCATGAGTTTTGAAACTTTTTTAATCGATCACACAGCTCTAATGAATGTATCTAGATTTAGTTCACTCTTTTCATACAGTAGTGTTCTGTTTTTCTCTCTTGGTGTGACGGGGCATGGAAGCAGTGCTCTTACCCTATTACTTTTCCCTTGCCTAACCCAAAGGGAGCCTCCTCTCCTCTCTCCTCATTCTTCACCATTTTCGCCCCAAATGGTGTTCAACAGTAATGTGGAAGAGCCCAAATAATGCAGCACATCTGCCATTTTGTATGCATTTTGGGTGGAGTGGAGCAATTGTGGCAATGTTTAATAGGGGCTTACAGTATAAGCACTATGCTCCTTGCCATTTTGAGTGCTTGAGGTAGAGCCGAGTGGTGGTGACCATTTTTAATAGAGATTGATTATATTATCTCTGCAAGTCTCAAGGCTTTCAGAGAAACCACCGAGCTTCACAAGTCTTCCCTATTTAAAATGGCCACCACCATTTTGCTCCACTTCAAGTGTCCAAAAGGACAGAATGCTTCCAACACTGACCATGGATAATTCAACCCAGGTGTTTTGTGTCACTTGTTCATTAAAACAAATCCAACCTATATTTAATTACAATTAATCATTAAATAATAATTGATCAACATTTTGAAAGCAAAGATTTAAATGCAATTTAAGTAGCAAAAAGAAAGTCAAATATGATTTTTATCCAAATAGTTAGGAAGAACATCTGAGTGGTGTCATGTGATCTCAGCAGTAGTTTTCCTTCCCACTTTGGTCCTTTTCACAACATTCTATTCTTTTTAGGAGGGTCCCTTGATCCTCTGTGTGGGACTTTTATAGAAGAAATCTTTTATTCATTTTTAAAGGGCTTGAAATTTCAGTTGCAATCTGTGTGCTTTAAAATAATCTGGTTAGGACTGAAAACTCAATTGGATACAAGTGTGATACATTCTGATACTAGTGAATCACTGTCATGTATCCTATGGATTGTTTGGACTGCTTTTCTACAAAGCAAGCAGTCATGAGGAAAAAACATGATTCCTGATATTTTTGTGTACTATGAGCTTCTTACTCAAAGAGCATCACATGCTGATAGGATCCAGGAGGAGGGATCTTGCAACTCTACACGGTCCTCTACAGATTGCAACACTTAATAAAGAGCTGCTATGTTTTAATTGTCAGAGCAATCTTGTAGTTTCATTTTATGACTTCTTCCTGATCTTTGCAACATGTTTATAGTTAAAATAAGAAAATATTGGATCAGCTAACTTTTTTCTTTTCTTTTTTGGCTCCTTAACTCTGAAATGTTCAGGATATTTCTAGTCCAATCTTGTGAATGCTTACTCCTAACCCCCCGCCCCACCTCTTATGAGTAGACATGAAATCTTATATAGGATTTATTTTCTAATACACAGGCAACTGTTCCATCTGAGACTGTGCTTTTGCTTTTGCTTGAATCAATGGACATTACATACATGATAAACATTGAAAAGCTTGACTACATGGATCTGAAGATAATAAGCCAATCTATTAGTTGTATGAAAATCTAATGATTTAAATGTAATTTAAGTAACAAAAATAAAATAAAATCTGGCTTTTATCCAAATAGGAAGAACATCAGAACATCTAACAAAAAAACGTATCTTTGCAATGTATGGTGACCCATGGGGTGTGTACCTATGCTTTCAAGTAATCTGTTGATTTAAGAAAACCTTATGAATTTTAGTTTTCTTGGGTGAAGAGTTGGGTAAAGAGGGGGATTAACATTTCTAATTTTTCATATTCACTTATAATTTCCCACTGATCACCTGTGCAGCTGTTTGGGATGAGTTTTCATTTAGGATTGTTTTTATCTCTGACTGAGTGTATCAAGGAAATTTGTCTTGTCACAAAGTTTTCTCACACAATTTTGTCACTTTAGGCCTGGAATATTGTTCAGTATTCCTTTTCCTAGACAAATTTTGTCTTAATAGGGCATTTAGTACAGACTTGATTTCCACAGTATAGATGTGTTCAAGGCAAATTGTATGTTTCATTTGTTACAATCAAAGTTCTCAAGGTAACAGGCCTGGTTAAGCTAGGGCAACTAATAAAAGCAATTATGCTTTAGTTACATAAGGGGACCATTTTTATTTATTTATTTATTTATTTGGAAAATAAGGGTGACTCATGCTGTAAGTTCTCAATTCAAAATCCAATTTCTTTTGTGACTTCAAATATGGGGATAAATATCTAGTGTGCAATTGTTCTGGTTTGTGTTTTGAGTCAAAATTTCCCTGGATTTCATGCTTGGGATTCATTGCATTGGTTCCCACCATATGTCATTCCATTTAGCGCCCTGACACAATCTCTTTCAGTGAAACTCTCTTAGAGTAGCATATTCCAAACTTTGCCTTGTGGTATGGAATTTGATTCACTTTGCCTTGTAGTATGGAATCAAATCCATACCACAAGGTATGGATTTGATTCCATACCTTGTGGTATGGAATATTGTTCAGTATTCCTTTTCCTAGACATTTCTAAAATGAATACTAAAAGATCACTTTACAATTTCTTCAACACTCAGCTTAAAATGGGGTGGGAGAAGAGGTAAAATTTTTTGTAGATGTCAAAGGGAGTTGAAAGACAGACATGCTCAATGTGGAAGTTAAGGCCCTGGTATAATTTACAGCTCTTAAAATTGAAAAAGATGGTAGTTTGCTAATTTTAACATCCTTGTCTCTCTCTCTTCCTTCCCCGCCTCCCTTCTTTTCTCTAAGGCCTGTATAGATGAGAACCTGGACATGGTAAAGTTTCTGGTAGAATATGGAGCCAATATAAATCAGCAGGATAACGAGGGCTGGACCCCACTTCATGCGGTTGCATCTTGTGGCTATCTGAACATAGCAGAGTGAGTGAGTTTCAGTTTGACCTGGATATTGGAAATAATACACAAATTATGTATATGTGTGTATACATATGTATCTAGACTGACTGATTTATTGGATTTATAGTCTGCCTTTCTGCCTGCCTTTCTCCCAGAAATAGGACTAAAAATAAAATAAAAGTTGACTATTTGACTTTTCCTCACTTCAGAGGGAATAACTAGAAAATTACTGATTTAAAATTATATACCCAGATAAGTGTCTGTGCAAAATGTCACCACAGTAGCAGACTATGTATATTTCCTTTTTATGTGGAGAAGGTTGATTAATTATCCTGATATAGATGGTTTGGCTGAATGAAACACACTTTAATCAACTTTTCCTACCATACTCAGTGTTTCATCAACACAGACTGGAAGACTCCTGAGACAGGGAGTTAACGTAGTCCATAACACCCATTTTTATTACCAGGATACCTCTTCATGCTGAGGCTAGGCACCCAAGGCAGCTTGAGGATGTTGCTTGTCAACACCCCACTTGCTGCCCAGCTGTTTCCTGTCTGAGCTGGCTGGTAGCCTCAAATATGGTGTTGAAAAAGTACAGGACAGTTCTGGAAGCCTTTGCCATGCATGCTGGGGTTTCATTTAGCATGATGATTTAGAACTTGATGACTTCCATGATGAATGTGCCTGAGCATGTGCTAGAGCTGCTAATTATGCCTATCTAATGGTGATGTAATGGCCACATGGTAGCCTTGGGTGGAGGTGGGGAGTGTTGTGGGTTATTGATATTGAACCAGGTTGGAGCACTAGAACCTTAATGATTCACTGAATCAATATGTAAAGGAATCATTTAGCACCTTAGGACTAACTGAGAAAACAAAGTGGTAGCATAAGCTTTCATAAGCTAAGTCTGCTTCATCAGATGGAACATAGTCTTGTTTGCTAGAACTTTGGTATGTTATTGTTGAAGCAGGATGTGAAGTACAGAAGCATCTGAGGAGCTATTTGTTCCACTTTTGTTAAACACATTTCAGCTATTAAAGCAAGACAGTGTGGACATGTTACTTGCAGATGTGTGAATACCATTTGTTAATTGTGGTTTAACAATTGTGGGGGAGTGTTGGGTCCATCCAGGCTGTGGTAAAAATGTAATTATGTAAAATATTATGTATGAGGAAATGATGGTGTGTCTGTTTCTAAATTACCCGGTCTTGGTCTCCATGGTGTGTGCCAGTTGTGAATAGCTGTTTTGGGGTAAAGTTCTAGAGAGGGTGGGGCGTTTTAATTGCAGACTTCCCCAGAGCAAACAGAATATCCCATTCTGGTCTGGATATTGAACTGGCATTACCTTGGTCGGTTATCTTTATAGAGAGAGAAATAGGAAGAGTATTAGTCCGTTGGCTACCTTTTTATTGATGGTGATATCTTCCTGAACCACCTCTGAGGAGAATGGAGACTTTTATGTATATGACCTTTTCCTCTTCTCTGTCATGTTTTATTTAATTGTTGTCTTTTATATTCTTTTATATGGCATCTGAACGTATGGGCTAAGGACCATTAACTGGAATGGAATGCTACTGAAATGGAAGCCTTATCACTGGGCATTTCTCAAATCTTGAAGTTTGTAGTTTTTCAATCTGTGAAGCTATATTCTCCTTGAAGGAACAATTTTGTAGTTTGTGGCTTCTTCTTTATTCACCCTTGTCAATGGAGATACAGGTGACCATGGTGGATAAGGGCATCTTATAGTAGCTGCATCTGAAATAGGAGAGCTACAGGGAAACAAGAAACCCCTATGCCGGCAGGACTGACAGGTCGCAGGTTCGAAACCAGGAAGAGCACAGATGAGCTCCCTCTATCAGCTCCAGCTCTCCATGCGGGGGCATGAGAGAAGCCTCCCACAAGGGTGGTAAAACATGAAAACATCTGGGCATCCCCTGGGCAATGTCCTTACAGATGGCCAATTTTCTCACACCAGAAGCAACTTGCAGTTTCTCAAGTCACTCCTGACATGACAAAAAAAAAAATAGTATATTCGAGCAATACTGAAATAGTTTCATTAGCTGACTGTTTCCAATCAAGCTGAATGTAAGGTTCTGTTTTGGATTTGTAAGGCCTTGAAAGACTTGCAGTTGAATTATCTCAGAGCATACCTTCTATATAAACCAGTTTAAGAGCCAGTGTGGTATAGTGATTTGAGCAATTAATTGTGATCCTGGAAATCAGGGTTTAAATCCCTGCTCAACCACACCCTTTTAGCCTCAGAAGGAAGGAAAACCAAATTCCCTCTGAAGAAATTTAGTGAAAAAAGCCCCATTAATAGGTTGACCTTATATAATAAGTTGGAAACAATTTGAAGGCACACAACAACAAAAAGTAGACATTATTCAAGGAAGTTGTTAAAGGAAGCCCTTCAAATTATGCCATATTAGGCAGATAGCTGTTACAGTGACTCAGGCCTTCTCCTTGATAGTGTTAGGTAGTGGAAGAATTTTCCTGTAGAGATACACAGGACACCTATGATATAAGTGCTCTTTCAATTAGTCAAAACATACTTACCCATGCAAGCATTCCAGGACACTAATTTTAGTCAACCTTGTATTCCTTTTTTACATGTTTTTATTTTGCTGTTGTTTTTTTTTTTTGCTTTGTTAAAGTGTCCTTTTTAATATGGAAAAGCAGCCTGTAATTTAAATACATTCTAAGTAAACTTAAGCTTTCTTGCCATATGCAATTAATGGTTGAGACCCTTTGAATCACAAATGTGAAAAATGAGTAAACTTATATTGTTTGTAATGGTAAAGGAATGTTGTATTCAGTACTATGCAGTTTACCCATTATTTGAATTTTGGTGTGCAGCCTTTGCATGAAGTTGTTACTCAGTAGTGAAATTGTGAACCTGGTCTCTTTACTTTGAATCTTGGTTTTTTATTTATTTATTTTTTTACAGAAACACTTGATAAATTAAATATATATACTGATAAGTAAATATTCTTTTATAATAAAGTAGGTCAAAACATTTCTTAAATGTGTATATACTTGTGTATGAGTCAACTTTCTTTCTTTCTTTCTTTCTTTCTTTCTTTTTTAAAATTCAGTCCTCAAAACCTGGCTCTTCTGTGCCATGACCTGGGGAGGAAGATTGTCACTTCTGCCCTTTGCCAGTGCTGGAATAGGGACCCAGTGTAAAGCAATGACAAAGGGCAGAAGTAAGAATCTTCCACCCCACTATTCCTGCCTACATTTAAGATGAACAATGCAGAGTATCCCCCCCACACACACACCATTGCAACTCCTCAAATAAACAGATTCTCTCTTTCTCTATAGAGTAGTGGTTCTCAATCTGTGGGTCCCCAGATATTTTGGCCTTCAATCCCCAGGAATCCTAACTGCTGGTAAACTGGCTGGGATTTCTGGGAGTTGTAGGCCAAAACACCTGGAGACCCACAGATTGAGAACCACTGCTTTAGAGCTTCCTAAGTACATTTTCTCTATGCCAGTCCTGCACAACAAATGGCCAGTGGGTCGGATGCTGTCTGCAAAGGATTTGCCCATGAAGGGGGCTGGAGTTCCCCTTTGCTGGTTGCCCTTTTGCATGCCTGCTTTCCTGGTCAGGCAGGCAGGGAGGGAAGGAGGAGGAGTAATCTGCAGAAAATTGTCCCTTTACAAGGATCAAGTTTTCCAGGCCTGCTCTATACATTTGTGAAAGGAAAGGAAAATTGTTTGGTACATGTTCCTAACTGCTACTCTTAACTTTATCAATAGGTTGAAGCAAAATCCTTAATTTTGGCTCCAAACCTTGCCCTCTATTTATACACAAATATAAACAGTATATTGGATGTGTCCAAAAATATTTAGTCATTTTGTTTAAGGTATGGTATTGTAATTGGTTTAACTAATTAACTGTAGCAGTCATTTGTTTGGGCCACACATGCTAACTTCATTGATGAAGTTGTTGTTGTGTTGCTGTTGTGTGACTTCAGGTTGTTTCAGTTTTATGGTGACCCTAAGGTTTTGAAAAGATTTGTTCAAAGGAAGTTTGCCTTTGTCTTCCTCTGAGGTTGAGAGAATATGACTTGCCAAAGGTTTGCCCAATAGGTTTTTATGACTGAGTGAGGATTTAAACCCTGCTCTTTAGAATCACTAATCTAATACTTAGACCAGGGGTTCTCAAACTTTTTAAACAAAGAGCCAGCTTACGATCGCTCAGACTGTTGACTATAATTTTAAAAAATTGAACAAATTGCTATACACACTGCATATATCTTTTTTGTAGTGCAAAATATTATGAAGGAACAATACATTTAAAATGAACAATTTTAACCAGCATAAACTTACCAGTATTTCAGCGGGAAGTGTAGGCCTGCTTTTGGCTGTTGAGATAGTCAAGTTAATAAGCTTGTTGTTGTTGTGTGCCTTCAAGTCTTTTCAGACTTAGTGCAACCCTAAGTCTAAAATTTAGGTCGGGGGCTGGGTAAATGACTTTGGAGGATTGCATCCAGCCCGTGGGCCTTAGTTTGGGGACTCCTGACTTAGATTATGCTGGCCCTTGTAGTATTTAGTAGCAGACTTTGATTACAAAGTCAGATATTGTACCTCTGTTTTAAAACTGAGTGTTACTTAAATCTTATTCACGTAGGTATTTGATAAGTCATGGAGCCAATGTAGCTGCTGTGAACAGTGAAGGTGAAGTCCCATCTGACCTTGCAGAGGAAGCAGCCATGAAAGATCTGCTCTTGGAACAAGTAAAGAAACAAGGTGAGATGAATGCATGGTTATGCATTTGTTACTTTTGTTATTTTTTTAATTAGAAAGGTTATGCGGTATCTTTTACAACAGCAGTGTGGAATATTATTACGTCGGGAAATGTTAAAAATAGTGATACATGTCATGAAGTACAATTAACTAATTTATAAGGTGTAGATTTTTCTACACTTTTAAATTTTGGCCATATACAAAGATAGTTAACATTTTGAGAATACTGAAACAGAAACCTCTCCCATTGTATACCCATTGCACTCCCTTGAGGTTTAATCCAGACTGCTTTTGCTTTGGGTTTTATCTGTACCAAAGATGATTTGAGACTCTGCTGCTTAACTTTATTTCTTTTTGCAGTTACACAAAGTCTTAATCAGTAGAACTATTGGCCCTGTTCCATTATCTGGGTAGATTTCAAAAAGGGGCCTAGACAGAGATGAACAGTCAATTTTATGGAAGAACAGTCCATTTTATGTTTTCCTGTTATTCTCCCCACCCATGTCACAGTTGTGGAAACAGCCATTGTTTGTGAAATGTGAAGTGTGTGTGTGTGTGTGTGGGGGGGGGGGGGAACCAGTGAAAACAGGGGGAAAACTCCTCCCTTGTAAAATGGACTATCCTTCTCTGTCTAGGCCCCCTTTTGGAGTCCGTCCGGGTAATGGAACAGTATTGAACTATCTTTTAAAAGTAGGATTGTGCATGAAGGTAGGGTGGGGAGAGTGTGTGATCCATGTAGAATGATTTTGTAGCGATCCTGCATGTGTGAAACAGGCCTGAGATATGTTTCTATTTCAAGCATTTACCCAGCTTAGAACTGCTGGTGTCATCACCCTCCCTTTTTGCCTCTCTGATTATTTTTGGCACTAATGTTGTGACTATAACAGCTCAATTTCTCTGTACAAACATTCTGCATTTTTCATGAAGAGAAGTTAATTTTTTGCTGAGTACTTATAGAAGGCCTGGTGTGTTGCTTTACTCCATATTTAAATACTTAATTTTGTCCAACTACCTGGTCCGTAGACATTCCATCAAAGCAATTTTCTTTATTTGTTTTTGACAATGTGGTGATCAGCCATTTACAAAGTGAGAAATGTGGAAGGTTGCCTAGAAGCCACACATAGAGCTGCTGTAGAAAGTGCAACCCTTTCTGAATGTGTTACTGGGTTCCCTAGGAAACGAAACTAATTTAGCTCTGCCTACTTGCTGCAAAGCTTAGTTGGTTGTGTTGGTGTTGTAGGCATCTGCATTCTGGAGTTAATCCATGGTTAGGTTCAGAACGCTCCTAGCGTTCCGTTGCGGTGGGCGTACTCCTGTCATACACTTACTGCTTTTTAATTACTTTGTAAGCATTGCTTTTAATTTGAAATGGCTTCAGAAAAAATGAATGTCGAAGTCTGAGATTTTGTTCAGTTCATTTATAAACAAGCTCCTTCAAAGTTTTCTGTGAAATGAATCAGCTTAGAAATGAGTCAGCTTAGTTGCTTGTAAATGCAATCAGAATTACTAGTTTGTTTCCCTTCTTTCCCAAGTTATCTTAATGTTAAGCAACTGTCCCATGCATCCATAATTCTTTAAAAATGCATGGATACATATAAATGCATTTAAAGACTGTATAGTACCCACCACAATATTGTGAGCTTTTCTTTCACAGATTTGATAATTTGCAACTTTATAGCTGGTACTTAAGTAACTTGCTTTAAACCCTTTGCTGCCCCTTTGCCTGTCGTTTCATGTCCTGCCAACAGTGCCATCCTCTCAGTACATTTACCACCTTCCCACCACAAAGAGGTCAAGAGGAGATGAATTGGCACCTCTTCACACAGAGCTAAAACTGCCCTGTTTTGCCAATTTTGGCCGGGCCTGGATGGGGACTACCGAAGCAAATTATCTCCAGAGCCATAGTCCATTGCTCTGTGCACACCTAGATGGAAGTAATTCAGTTTGATATATGTTTGGCCATGAATAGGCCTGCATAGACTTATCTGTCAACATTGAAAACATATGTTTTAATTTCTGCACAGGAACAGTTCACATATATCACTATTTATTATCATTCATTGAAATGATAAAGTCATGTCTCTCAGTGAAAGGTTTGTAATTTCAAAACACAAGATTTGTTTGTTTTGTTTTTTAAAGGTCGCCCAGAGACTAATCACTGAAACTCCTCTTTTGATCACATGGAATGGTATCATTTTATGTCTTTTTTTTTTTACACATATCTGTGGTTTTTCTCTCCAGGTGTGGATCTTGATCAGGCCAGAAAAGCAGAAGAGCAACAAATGCTGCAAGATGCACGGCAATGGCTAAATAGAGGGAAAATTGAAGATAGAAGGCAGCCCAAAACTGGTGCTGCTGCTCTCCATGTAGCTGCAGCTAAGGGGTACTATGAGGTGATGAGGTATTGATGTTTTTCCATTGTTTGCTTGGGTCTCTTGCTATTTTCGTAATCCGTGCTTTAGTTATTGAGTACTTCCAGGCTTAAGGTGGAGCTTTCAAGGAGTGATATTCAGGGACAATGGTTACTGTAATTTTTAAGACAATATATTATTGCACTTTCTTAGCATAATCAAGTAAGGCTTAGTTCACCTTTGAGCGTGGCAGCCTTGGTGAGATCTCTTGCTCACACACTGAAAATATACATGCTGCTTTAATTTATCCAAAAAGAAAGATAGAAAAAAGAAAAGATAAGATAATAGAGAAAAAGGAAATGCTCTACTAGAAGAATGAAGAAAGATGGAATGAGCTAGAATTTGAAAAATTAAACAGTATAGATTTATTATTATTATTATTATTATTATTATTATTATTATTATTATTTATATTTTGCTTTATCTCTCCCAAAAGGGACTCAAATATGGCACTTTTATGCCAAGAAATTTAGTGTCAAGGCATATATTAAAGATCTGAAGTTTAGTTCCCAGCATTTATAGACAGAAGAATCTATAGGATTAGGTTAAAACTTTCATTCTGTAATGTTACTGAATGGTTAATGCATTGGAGAATGCTATTACCACAGCCTCTGCTTTTCTCCATAGGTTTCCCTCTGTCCGGCAGTTTGTTAGAATATAATCTGTGTTTTCAGACTCAGATATCTTCAATTTTTTTGCTTTGTAAGAGTCTAGTCACTCTTATCACCTGCATTATATAGAGGTTGTTTTAAATTTTTGTATTAAATCTGACACCTATTCACTGCCATGGGCTGTTTACTTTATCATACATCTTAGGGCATGCTTGGTTTTTGTTTTTGTTTTTTGTTATTTTGGGGTTTTTTCCCTAAAGAGGCTGTTTATAATGGCTGTTAGCTTGGAAGATTGATATGATGCCATGTTTGCTCATTTATTTTCCTCAGACTCTTGATCCAAGCTGGGTTTGATGTAAATGTTCAGGATAATGATGGCTGGACACCACTTCATGCTGCTGCACATTGGGGAGTGAAGGAAGCTTGCTCTATACTGGCTGAAGCACTCTGTGACATGGACATCAGGAACAAGCTGGTCAGTGGGTTTTAGACCTGTAACATATGGTGGTATCACAGATGCATAAACTAATAAATCAGTGGTTCTCAATCTGTGGGTCCCCAGGTGTGTTGGTCTATAACTCCCAGAAATCCCAGCCAGTTTACCAGCTGTTAGGATTTCTGGGAGTTGAAGGCCAAAACATCTGGGGACCCACAGGTTGAGAAACACTGTAATAAATGAAACCTCTCAGTACTTTTATGGGCAGTTTCCTTTTAGAAATTCTGACTGGCAAGCATAAACTGCTAAATAATTGTATATATCTAAATCTTGCTTATGACTCAGCTTTATTCAGTAGCTAGGAAGGTGCATTATGCTTATTAATTACTTGACAGCTTTTTTCATGTCATGGTGTGAGAGAATTAGCCAGTCTGGTGTGAGAGAATTAGCCATCTACAAAGATATTGCCCAGGGGATGTCTGGATCTTTGATGTTTTACCATCCTTGTGGGAGACTTCTCTCATGTCCCCTCATGGGGAGCTGGAGCTGACACAGAGAGCTCAACCCACTCTACCCGGATTCAAAACGCTGACTTGTTGGTCAGCAGTCCTGTCAGCACAGGGGTTTAACTCATTGCGTCATCCGGGGCTCCTTACTTGACAGCTGAGTAACTGAAATATTGTTGAAACCAATATTATTCAAAATGATAGTTTGCATTATTAAGTTTGCATTATATAATGTTGGTGTATATTTTAAGCTAGCCTTAGTACACTACAGTTCTTGTTATTTAGTTTATGCATGCATGTATTTTATGTGTAAGGTTAATGGATAGAGCAGTGTTGTTTAGGTTCCAGCATGTCATACTGTTGTGCTGTTTAATTTGTAGGTACAAGTTGTATATAGTAATTTGACTTTGGTCTGTTAATTAATAATTAATTAAGTGCAAATCCCCAGACTTGTTTTTCAGTTAGTTATGAGAGGTTTTGCTTGAGAAATAGACTAACCCACAACCCTGATGGCCAAATTCTGCTGCATTTATGTTGAGCTGCCCAGATACAACAACAAATGTAGCAAGCTTCTATCTGAGACAGTGAAGTGAAATTGTATCCCTCACATTTTAAGATGTTTTGGTATTGATAGATCCCATTTTGCTTCTTGATATCAGCAGAGCTGGTCCATGTGATGGTGCTATCAACAGACTTAGCCCACAGGGTATCAGCAGGATCCTCTCAGTGGTTGCTTTCCCTTACATTGTCTCCATCATAAAACAAATGGCTTGTCAATGTTTTCCTAAATATTTCTGTTTTATAAGTTATTTGATAATTAGTCCTTCTCAATACTGTATTTGTAGTTATTTCCACTTTTCACCTTTTCAACCATCCATCTGTGGAGTTTTAATTATATTTTGTGATGTGTGCATATTTACATGATTCCTATATATTTCTGTGAGATTCTTCTGGCTCCTAAGAGACCAGGATATAAGAATAGTACACATACCAACAAACTATGTTGAAGTCTATTGGGAGATGAGAAAAAAGAATGGTAAAACAAAGTTTTCTATTAGTATCAGCCAGCTCAGTCTGACATTAAAAACCTATTTTTGTTGCTACTGCTGTAATATGGTTTACATAGGAACTTAAATTTCAAAATATTTTTGACTTTTCCTTGTATGTGTGAAGTGTGATACATATTCATCATTTTATTTTCACCTTCCTATACGTAACTGATCTAATGACAATTCAGTCTGCATACTAAAAAAAAGAAAAGCTTAATTGGCATTTTAAAAGGTTTTCAAAGAAAAATTGCTTGTAAGGTTTTTTAGATATTGGAAGTTTGGAATTACCTATATAAATAAAAATGTAATGTTAGTTTGTGGGATTAACATAACTCAAAAACCACTGGACGAGTTGACACCAAATTTGAACACAATACACCTATCAGGCCAATGAGTGACCATCAGTCATAAAAACACTGAAAAACACAGCAGATGAGATTTAAAAAATCTAAAAAATAAAAAATACATTACAACGCATGTGCAAAACCACACACACACACACAGACTGGGCCACAGCATCGTGTGGCAGGGGACAGCTAGTATTTCATAAACTTGAGTGCTCTTCCTTTCATAGCATGAAATGCTTTCATGTATAATGTCCCTATTTTCTGATTGCTCATGCCATCAGGGCCAGACACCATTTGATGTTGCAGATGAAGGATTGGTTGAACACTTAGAAATGCTTCAGAAAAAACAGAATATGGTAAGTTCTAAGACATTCCTTTTAAGTATTTGAGACTTGAAGACATCCTGGACATGATTCCTCAATTATAGGAATGAAATGAATTGCCAGTCCTTTTATAGCTGCTCATAATATATTAAATATCACACATATACAAGTACTAACGTAACATAAATGATACATAATGGCAGGAAATATCTTGTACATATAATAAAGAAAGAAATTGATTCTATGAACTCCATTCATGGAAGAAAGGCTGGGATATAAGCCATTTAGCTGAGCTATCTGAATTATTAGATGAAACTTCAATACTTATTCAGTCTTTTCTAAACGTTGCTAATGAATGTTTTAAAAATTAGAAGTTTGTAGTTTCTCCAGCAGGGGTAGGCATGCTGTGAAATGGAGTGTACACAAGGTAGAATTCTAAAGCTTTTACTGATTACTAAAGCTTCCTTTAGAGTGGTTAATATTTGTCAAGTCACCTTTACTGCAGTTCTTACAGGTAATCAGGATGCTGAATCCTGGGTTATCTTTTATGTTTTTATTTGTGTTATTATTTAGTGAATTTTATCTATGCTTAAATGTTTTAACTGTTTCTATATTATTGTGGGCATCAAATTGTGCCGTTCTGTAAACCACCATGAGTCACCCTTGGGCTGAGAATGGTAGCATAGAAATATAGTAAATAAATAAATAGTAAATAAATTTTCCCCATAAGGATATCATGTTTTGTCTATAGTTTTTCTTTCTCTCTTTATAAAATAGACCATAGTAATTAATAAAAAAACAACGAGGTAGATCTTTTTTAGCTGACATGTCCCACAGTATTTACCTATAAACATACATTACTGTTTTTGTTATTACCAAGGAGCATAGATATTCCAATCATGTCACCTGTCCATTGTGATAATTTATTTTAGGCTCAGGACCTTTTGATATGCTACTGCATTTGACAGTCTTAAGCTATATCTCAAAATCTCTTGGAACATAACACCATTGGTGATAGAATCTGTTGTCTGCCAGTATGTTATTTGCTTCCTACCTAACTATCTGGTGGGTTCTTTAAACACATTATGAATTGAAAGGACAAATTTAACATGGATAAAATTATTTTCTCGAATTAATGATGTAGGTGTACTGTATTATTAACTATCTGATAATTCATAAATATCAATCCCTGGAACATTACAAAGTTGAAAGAGGTTACCATATATATAAGCATGGTTTCATAAAAATAGAAGATTACAAAACCTTTATAGAGATATCTAAAATCCTATGGTATTATCCTTCTTAAGAGGCTAACTTTTTTTTAGTCTCTGAATTTGACAGTTTTTTTAAATGGGGGAAAAATATGGTAGTGCTGATTTACAACTCAATGTGTATTTTTTTGAAACTGAAAAAGATGTGTCTGGTGAGATTATTGCTACCTTGACTCATCCTACTGTCACCAGACTTCTGTAGGTTATGTTCTGTCCTGGATACTTGGAGTACCGTTGATCTTGCCTTGGCTTGAAGAGTGTGATTTAGGTGACAGGTCTAGTCTGCAGTAGTACTGTCTCTGGTCTGTCCAGGTGTCCATATCTGTGCCTTATTCGTAATAATCAAGGTCAAACACAGATTATAAAATATAAGCTAAATATTATTAGCATGGTTGTAAAATAATATCTAACTCATGATATGACCAGTTCTGATCAGAAGATGTTTCTGGTGGTCCATTGGGTCAGATTGATATTCTCAGAACTCTTGTGCATTGTAGTGTATAACTTCAGGGGATATGTTAATTTTCTCAATTTTTTTCTCAAATTAATTCAGTAATACTTTTCTGAAACGAAACTTGCATTTTTCACTAGAAGCCAAAATTGTTAAACTGGGACTGTCATGCTTTGGACATATCATGAGACACCATGAATTAATCAAAAAGAGTATAAAATGGAAGGCAGACAGAAAAGAGGGAGATAACATTATGGATGAATTACATCATTAAAGGAAGTTAAGGACCAGAGCTGTTGATAACAGGGGCTCTAGAAGGTCTCTTATTCCATAGCATCATTGTGAACTGAATCTGACTTTGTGGTAATAAGAACAACAAAATAATTTCCCCAGTTTTAGAGTAATAATAACATTTTACTTCAGTTTGTCTTCAGAATCATTTTATAATTTTAAAAAGACTATTGGGTTAAGAGGTAGCATGTAGTTAAGAGGTAGTAACTGCTTGAATATCATCCAGCTCAAACACATGATGCAAACACATGTCCATGCTAAATTTATAATTCTTATGAAGAATTCTTATGGGTTATATGTATTGTTCATAGATGCAATATTCTGTTAAATTAAGGATTGGCTTATCTTGCAATATTGAAAGTGCTGCATGAGGAAACAGCAGATAATCCTGGGCCCAGGCTTAAAATAAGAAAGTAGCAGTAGGACAGGGAGAATGTAAAGAAAAATTAGCTAGGGGAAGCCTTGGGGGAAGATCTTAGATTTTCTAACTACCTTGTGAATTTATTAATACCCAACAGAAATGACTATCCCATACCAAAGATAAATGTAATGCTTCTATAATCTAGATCTGTCCTGTCTGTTCTTTAGTTCAGATCTAGTCCTGATTTTAAAACACTGAATATTTGTCATTGTTCAGTTGCCTGAGTTCACCATTACCACTTTTTTCAAAAAGATGAAAATGGTAGTACATCTCCCCGGGGTGAGTGTACTTCAATAGCTTTCTTTAAAAATAACTTTGTGATTTGTTTTCAGTTTGTCCTTGCACTCTTTATGTCTTCCATTCAATCTTCCTGAGTGACTTGGCCAAAGAATTTCACAGTATCAGGGTTCTTCAAACCAAGTACTGTTTCCATATTGATGGTAGTGGGCACTGTATTTGTTCCCAGAAAACATCTTTTATCTACAGAGCTCTACAGAGGGCTCTGTAGGTATGGCTACATTTCTGCATATGCCAATAAGACCATGACTTTTTTTCCTTTAGAACATTCCTGGAACTCTCAGATTTCAAATGCAGTTTTTCATAGGATGTTGAAGTTCATGTGTCCTTTTGTCTGCTTCTCCCTGTCTTTTAAAGTAAAAAAGAAAAGAAAAACAACCCCTCCCCTCCAAAAAAAACCCCGAAGTAGACCTCTATCACACTATTCCTTTGTATGTAGCATTGCCTTATAACATTTTAGTCATATTCTTTACCATTAACTTATCTGAGAGTTAAGTAGTTAAACATGAACTGCAGTTGCTGGTTCTTCAACTTTCCAATTATGTTTTGACAGCTTCGAAGTGAAGAGACAAGAAGCAAGCTAATTGAAGCTAATATAAATGGGAAACTTCAAAGTGGACTTTTCAAAAAGTAAGGTTCTCAGTACATGATATGGGTGTCTCAATAGGATGTGTGCTTTGACTCACATTGATGTGAGGTTCAAATGCAGTCATATTAGAGAATGTGACTTATATTTAGCTTCTAAAGGTCAGGTGAATAGCTAAGTTGACATGAAACAGTGGGATCAGTTGTCCTGTAATGTGCTTTGATTGTGTGTTCCTGCATGGCAGGGGTTTGGTCTGGATGGCCCTTGAGGTCTATTCCAACTCTATAATTCTATAAAAAAGTACATGTTTTCCCTCCAAATCAGGAGCTGTTTGCAGTTTGATCTAGTAATTTTAATCACTATCATGATTATAAGAAAAATGGCTAAAATTAACAAATTAGAAAAGCAAGCTTTTCTCCTAGTAGCTTAGACAGTTCTTTTTATAGTTAGAAGGATCTGATACTGGTTCAGGACTAGTCCATTGTAATAGTAGAGGTGAAATTGGTAACATTGCTCTGCAGAAAAGATACTAGACACAGTATGTCTCGTTCTTATAGTGTCAGTCTCAAAAGTTCAACATTTTAGTTAGCACCTTTTCAACCTTTGTACCACAGCAAAGAAAAGATTCTTTATGAATCGGATACTTTGAAATCCTTGAGGAGAGAAGAGGAAAACAAAGAATCCAGTAGTTCCAGCTCTGAAGATGAAGAAGAAGAAGCTGAGGAAGATGATGCATCAGAGTCAGATACTGAAAAAGAATCAGGTAACATACAGAACTGGGATTCTTGCCTTATAAAATATTGAAGGGCCTGGAAATTTCATGACTTCAGAGCAATGATTAAAAGAAGGTTATAAAGTATAAGATACTGAACATTGTTGGTCAAGAATCAAGGAGGACTGGCTATAAAAGGTGGTAGCGTGTAGTTCTTTGGTTCAGATTTTGTGTAGTCTATTATCACTGAGCATGCTCACTCTACTTTAGGCTGCTTGTATGCACGTCCCAGTATTTATCACTGTAGTACAGAATTAGACCAGTACTTTGTTCTAATAATAGACTTCTATCAACTCAAATAACTCATGAAAGCAAATACAGTAGTACTATCTTATCTTGCTTAATTAGTGTCTTCTGTCATAGGTTGAATAAAAGAATGTCAGATTGTGGGGGCTTTGTTGCCATCAACCAGCCTCTAAACAAATAGACAAAAGCATCTTTATTCAGGTTAGAGAATTCCGTGTCTCGCTTCTTCATTAAGTCTTAAGATCACTCACAATTTGGAGAGTTTTTTTCACATTATTACCTCATTTGGTGTTTTTAGTAGTAGTAAGGAGGATGGGAGGAATAGCCAGTTATGGAGATAGAGGCTTTTTCCCTGTCTGCCATACATTATGCCTATAGTTGGGGAGGAACCCAGTTTTCAACAAGAAGGATCATGAGTTCTCTATCATTTTGCTGCTTTAGAACCTCTACAACCTGTTGTATGGTGGTATCACTATGACAAATGACATAGAACATATGAACACTTAGTGCAGACATAACTTGCTAATATGACAAATTAGATTCCAGACCACCATCATTAAGCAAATCTCAGCGTCTTTTTCATTTACCGGTGCACACAAAGGTCTAAAGCCCTATTTATGTGACCATTGACTAAGTGTGTAGTTGTGCTAGGCCTAAAAAAAAAAAGTAAAAATAAGTAATTAAAATATTGGCAGAATACTGTACTGAGACATCAAGTGCATAAATGTGCTAAACGGACTGAGTGCTGGTATTATATAATTGAAAAGTACCATGTTCATGAAGCACTCTAAGTTAAGTCCCTTAAAGCAAGGTCCAGCTGCATTATTGTAGCATTTGGCCTAATATCTATTATTTAAATGACCTATTCAAAACTAGCTTAGGTAAAAGTAGGGATCTTTCCAAGTCACTATCTATGCTTCATTTATAACTTATATATAACCAAAAGGTTATATATAGAAAGAGATAGATAGATAAATAGATAGATAGATAGTAGGCCTGGGTAACAACGGAAAAATTTGTTTCTAAAATCGATTCGTTTTTTGGGGTTTTTTGCGTTTCGTTATTTAAAATAATTACAAAATTTTCCTTTAAAAAAGTTCGATATTTACGAAATTTCGTAAATGTGAAAAAAATTACAAAACATTAACGAATCGATTTCCGAAACAATAACGAATCGATTCGTTAATGGTGGACGCGACCGCGAAATACGCTAAAAAACCTCCAAAAACTTCTGAAGCTTCCCTCTCCCTCTGTTGTTGACTGTTGGTGTGATATTATAATTTTTTTTCACTAATTAAACAAAAAACTTGCCCCAGACATGCGGAAATAATAACGAAACGACCTCAGAACAATAACGAAACGAATACAATAACGAAATACGAAGCATTTGCAAAACGTGTTTAAAAATTCGTTTTTTTAAAAAAATTGCTCCAGAATGGTTCGTTATCGTTTTGTAATTAAAAAAATAACGAATTATTAACGAATTACGAATTAACGAAACGAAACCGCCCAGCCCTAATAGATAGATATAGAAACATTTTAAATAATTTTGGTAGGAAACAAAGTTTTTCTATATTGAACCATCAGAAAGAAAATGTGATGCTATATCAGCCACTTATGTAGACAGGACAATTCTGGATTTTGGAGCATTTTGGATTTCGGAATTCTGGTTAAGGAATGCCTAATCTTTACTTGTAAAGTGAAGATAAGTGTCACTTGACATAGTCAAAACGGCTGTTTTCCAAATCACTCATGGCCAAAATTGAAAGCATTTTGTAGGAATATGCTTGAAATTCAGAAAAGAGCTCTAACTCTTTAGTTAGTTAATTCAGTAACCAACAAAACTTTCTTTACTCAGTTCTTTAAAAAATACTGTTAGGAAATGCTACTGATTAGATCCCACACAGGTTTTCTATTCTAAGTTGATTGTGTTTTGTTCACACTATAGAAAGTGACATTCGGGGCATGTATATCATAATTTTCTTTCTTGCTTAAGCCAAATGGAATACCTTTTGATTTAATACATCAGAGAAACTGGAGCTTCAGTGTTAGGAACACGTGACCTTGATAAATAAAAAAATGTAGTAAAATATGCACAACTATTTTGACCTTTGCTTTTCTCTCCTAACTTCTAGAAAGAAAGGAAGACTCTGTTGCTAATCATTCCAATCATGAACCTAGAATGCTCATTACAGAGTCAGTACCACCACCACAGCATAACTCTTTTACTATGGCTCCTGCCAGAAAAGTGAGTAAATCAGTTATTCTTTAACTTTTGGGGTCTTGGGTATCCTCTGAGAATTTGATAAAAACTGTGGGCCTGGATTTTCAAGATCTGTGTAAAACTGTTGAACACTGGAGCTCATTAAAGTATCTCATGAAGCTGACTTAATAGCAAATAACAAAAACAATTTGACTTGTCACCAGAATAATACACATAAGCATATTCATGAAAATTTTTTTGCATACAAGTTACTTTATACTTATAGAAATTAATTAGTCTTACATTGAGTAGTATGTAATGAAAAATATATAGTGAGCACTTGAAAATACTATATATATTTTTCTAAATTTTCACTGTGACAGAAACAAAGTAACAGGAAATAAATTATTTTTTCACCCACTTCACAGACTCCCTAAAGCCCAGGGAAGAACATCTGGCTTACATTTACAAATTTGAGATTGCAATTCCATGAAAATAGACTAAATGAGAGTAATGTAACCAACAATATTTGAAGATTGAATCAAGCATGGAATTCCTCAGTCAAAGGCAATCAGAGTTTTTGATTCTATTTGTTTAAGCTTGAATAGAGACAGTGACTTCCTGTTCTTTTCCAGGGGTAGTAATTAATAACAAAAAGATAGGAGGATTTTGTACTGTCTGGTCACTCTGCTTACTTAAGGTTTGCATAGAAAGGTTAGACTGTGCTTGTTGATTTATGAATGTTTAGACAAACTGTTCATATTTATATGGTTGTGTGTGTGCAGACATGTACCTTCTCCTCCCTTCCCAAGCTAATGACACAAGGCTCTCAATTTTTACATTCAACCATCTAAATAATGTAAGCTATGATTTGCATGTGATCATATCACACAGTGAGTTAGAATGAAATATGTATGGACTAGAGTGGATATGGGAAGTGTTCAGCCTCCAGACCTCACTTTTTTAGCCTTGATCCTCCTTGCAAGTCCATCAAAACCCACAAGCCCTTAAAAAAACATAATTAAAGCATCTCAAAATGGTCAATAACATAATGAGTTGTTCCTTCTAAGGAAGAAAGGATGGATGGATGGATGGATGGATGGATGGATGGATGGATGGATGGATGGATAGATAGATAGATAGATAGATAGATAGATAGATAGATAGATGAATGGGTTGCAGTCCACAACAATAGGAAGTGTTATATTATTACTGTATATTAGTAATTTGTCACTTTTGCTTCAAGGTATTTGTGTCCAGAAGTGATTTGAAAACTATTTCGCCTTGCAGTGAACTACTAGCACTGTACCATTTTAGAGTGAAGAATATGAGTTTTGATTTTAATATAAACAAAATAACTCTCTTTTATTGTATAATCTGGGGCAGTTTTTGTTCCCYTTCCCATGTCTCCATGCTTTATTCTAAGAAATGAAGAAAACACTCCAGTTAAGGTTGAGATTGGGGGGGGGGGGGYGGAACATTGTGGGAACTTGTCATTTAGTGCTTGACAAGATTTCTGGATTCTTTAYKTSTTSTSAAAGAMWTTMKAAATCAAGWMACATAATTAGTTTCTGGTTGGTTCTTGTCTTCAATTTAACAGCAAAATATTGTAGCTGAGCTGACTTGCAAGCTTTCATGTCCTGAAGTATTTATATTCCTTTGCATGCTGTTAACAGCAATGCAGTTGGCACTGCAGTAGGTATTACAAAGGGCATCCCAGGTTATGTAATCTTCCCCAGACTTGGTGGGGCCATGTGTACCAAGACTTTATGCAGTGATGGAATTGAGCATGTAAATATTTCGTACTCAGCTTTTTCTTCCGAAGTGAATTGAAAAGTGTCTTTGGAAAGAAACCTCATTTAACCCTAGGGAGTTGAGAGGGGCGGGGTATAAATACCCTAAATAAATAAATAAATAAATAAATAAATAAAGAACCCCCTTCTGTCTTAAAATATTCAGTTACTGGCATGTATTATGCAGATGGATGTATACTTTTGGAAAAGGTGGTAAATTCTATCAGTGATTAATTCGAAATTATACTGTTGAGCCATGTAGATTAATCTAGTTTTGATACTATCAACATTTTAGAAATGACTCTTTTGCTGCAACCATAAAAAGAAAGGAGGATTGTTTACAGACTTTGACAATCTTCAAATACTATAAGTAGTAAGCTGCTCCTCTATGGTTCAAATAATGCAGAAAATGCACCCCTGCACTATATATTCCCCTAGGACGTACAACACACCTCACAATTTTTAAAGTAAAAAATGACAAATAGAGCCTTCAGTTTTAACTGGAAAATTAATCCCCAAGGTTTGATTTATTATTTAAATGCTATGTTGTACCTGCCTGTTTTAATCCCCAAATAGCTTTTAAGCCCCACTCCTTCAGATTTTTTCTTGGTCTAAAACAGATGCATAAGGGGAAGATTTAAAACAATTCTTAAAGGTGATCTAATTTTAATATCTCTTGTACAGCATTATTCTCATTATCTCTCTGAATTATGGCGTTCCCTCCTTTGCATAGAATTTATGAATGAAAGTTTTCAATGTTTAAGTGCTTGTACTGAATTTACATAAGTAATCACAGCATTGCATCAGTACCAATTCTATATTTATATAATTTGAAAAGGAGTTCTTCTATATAGTTGGTCCTACACATTCATAGGGATTAAGGATGCAGGACCCCTCTCCCCCAAGGAAAAACTGAGTATAGAGCAGCATATTTTCTCAGTCATGTGTAGAGTTGCAGTGAAAGTCGAAACAAATACATCTGTCCATCAAAATCTCTGAATGCTTAATTGGCAAAAAGGGAGATACAACTGTACAAATTCGATTTTTACAACATATACAATAAGTGGAGGGATAGATATAATATGTGGGGTTTTTTTTTACTTTGAGTAAGTAATGTACATCTTAGCACTATTATCTCTCATGTAGTTAGAGTTTTAAAAAAATCTTGTATAATTGTAATGATTTTGAACTTCAGGTTATTCTTCTTGGTCTCTGTGTAACACACTTGTTCAGGGATTAATTTGGAGTGTTCTAGCTCTCTCTAGGTTGGTGGGAACATCTCAGTTTTATTCTATTTCATCACCCTTTTTCCTTTTACAGTTTGCTTCATTATTGAACAAGTCAGAAGAGCAAAAGGATGAATCTCCCTCATCATGGAGACTAAGTCTTCGGAAAACTAGTAGCCAAAACACGCTTAGTGAAAGCAGTGCTCCTTGCGACACACTTAAGGAGAAGGGCAGCTCAATCTATCGCTCCTCATCAACCCCTAGGATTTCTGCACTATTAGACAATAAAGAGAAGGTGTGGAATTATTTTGTTTGTCTTGGCTGGGAGCATGCTTTAGAAGCTTGAGTGGTTCTAATTAATTCTACACCTTTTTGTTTTGTATTGTGCTCATTAACCCCAACACCTGTACAATATATTGACCTTAAAATGATAGCATAACATACTGAATCATGTCAGGATTCAATTCTTATTTATTTATTTACGCTATTTCTACTCTGCCCATATCAGCCTGAAGGCGACTCAGGGCGGCTAAAGGGATGTCCACGAGTGGGCTGAGATATCAGTAATCTTCCTTGTTGTCTACTTCTCAGAGCATTAGTATTCAGATACATTATCTCTGAAAAAGGAAGGTCCATGTGACAGTGTCATATCTAGTAACTTACCATGTTTGACATGGTGATAGATGGAGGGGAGTCAAAAACATAATTTGTATGAGGAATAGCAGACTGTCAACAATCGTTGTGAATAAAAAACAGAATTGTGATAAATGTGTAATTTGGAGCAAAGCACTTGAAAAGAACCTTTCTTAGTTCAGGAACTAGATGCCTTAGCAATCACTAAAATGACTGACAATGTCACTAGCATCTTTGTTTTGAATTTGTCTTTATTTCAGCAGGACAAGGACAACAAAATCTATTTTGCTTCAATAGCTCCACGAAGATTGAACAGTACTGGTGACATAGAAGAAAAGGAGAACCGGTAAGATTATTTGTATCTGTGGCTCAGCTTTTTAGGTGTGAATCTTTGGAAGATTCTCAAAGGACTAACAACAACAACAACAACTTGCTTTTTATACCCCTCCACCATCTCCCCGAAGGGACTCGGGACAGCTTACAAGAGTACAAGCCTGAAAATACAGATTAAAGCACACACAATAAAATGAAATGAAACAAAATAAAATCAACAACAACATCAGAAAAACATTACAATCACAAAATACATTTTAAAAACAGTATAATGTCTGAAAGATTAAGTATTCTAATACTGTGACTATGCTAGTACTGTTGAAAATAATCCTGAATATTTCCTCCAGAAGTAGGCCCTAACCTTTGTAAGAGTCGTTGATTTTCTTTGAACAACCTTGGAAAACCCCATAAGTGGTGCAAAAACAAAGAAAGTCCTACAAAAACTGTTAGCCGGTATCCACATCATTTCCGCAACGCTTTCCTGGAGAGAGACAACTGACAACTGACCACAAGGGGCCTGACTCAGCATAAGGCAATGTCCACCTTCCCACTCTCAAGGCCTTCTAGCAGCAACAAATCTATTTGGAGCAGGCCAAACCCTATACCTTTGCTTGTCTGATTTATATCCAGATCCTGACTCTCTCTTCACATAGTTTTTATCATATCAATTCAGMTAAAAAATAACAAGACTCTGCCCCTGTGACTCGGGTCATGTAGAAACAACAGAACATGTGCTCCTCCAGTGCCRGTTCTACAGGGATATCCGTGCCAGGCTTATCTTACCTCTGTTATACAAGCACCCAGGCCATTCAGGACAATTTTATACCTCCKTGCTACTTGCAGATARTAATTCAGCMACAACCTACAYTGTTGCAAAGTTCTGTGCAGCAGCATACAAAATCRGTCAGGGAATGACTAGTCCCAAAAGTTAACTGTGTGTCCAGTAATCTTCTTCTCTGAATCTAAAATTTGGTGATGGARCTGGGCATTGTATGTTTTTACCCTGTTTCCCCTTCCCTTCTGCTCCCTCACCCATGTTGTGCTTCAGTAGTTGTGATATATATATATATATATATATATATATATATATATATATATATATATTTTAATGTACRAAACATACCAAGTTTGTATGAAAATGTGACCATTTCCTGTGCTGGTCAATGARCGAAATAAATGATTTGATTTGATTTGAACAAGTGCAAGTGAATCTACCTTTTTATAGTAGAAATGTTTTTCATGTTGATCATTCTCATGCTGGGAATGGCATAACATTTTCAGGGGAAAATACTTAATTGCAAAGTTTAGGCATGGAGAAGAAGAACTAAGTTACACCAACCAGTAGGCTTACATAGTTGTCTTCTAACTGGAGCTAATAATAGGAAGTGCACGCCGCCCCTATTAAAGCAGCTCCACTGATGGCTGATAAGTTTCCAGTCCCAATTTAAGGTGCAGGTTATGACTTAAAAAGTCCTAAACGGTTCGGGCCCCACTTATCTTCATGACCGCATCTCTCCCTATAAACTGGCGTGGGCTCTAAGATCTGCTGGGGAGGGGGGACTCCTCTCACTCCCACCGTCACAAGGCCCCTGACTTTGGAACACCCTCCCCAGGGAGATTAGGCAAGCCCCCACACTGTCCTCCTTTTATAGGGATCTGAAAACCTGGATGTTCCAACAAGTATTTGATTAGTCCCTACTTATAAATGCCCAGTCCCTAGCTTGCCAGATAGTATTCTGTTCTCTGTACTTCATTCAATCCCCCAGCCATATACTATGCTGTTCTGCACTATCCCAGGCCCAGTCCTCTTTATACCCTGATCATGCCCTTCTTAGTATTCTGGTTATTGGTTTTTGTTGTGCATTTTTAAAGTGAGTTTTAATGCTGCTGTTTTATACCCTTATGTTTTATTTAATTGTGTTTTATTTGGTATGCTTTGCTATGCTATATTTTCATTGTGTTTTTCTTTGTTTTTAATGGATTGTTTTGTTTTGATGTTTTGAGGACATTTTGTCCCATGTGTAAGTCGCCCTGAATCCTTTCGGGAAGATGGAAGCGGGGTATTCAAAAAAAGATGATGCTGATGCTGATGATTACTATTATTCTGTGCTGCCATGTTGATACACTGTTAATCTACTCTCTCTCCATCACAGATATGAACATATATTTAGTTCAATAATCAATAATAACAAAATATGTTATCTATACACAGAATTCTGTTATTCAAATTTGATTTCATCTCATGGTGCTTCTTTTTTGGTTGTACTTTAATTTGTAAATGCATTTTGTATTCTATAATCTGATCTTGTTTTTGTGTGACATCAAATTGTTTTTGATTTTTGGTGACCCTCAGGCACACTTACTATGGAATAGTCTAATCTATTTACTATCAACCTCTACAACTACTATTGGGTGTGGCTTCATTCTGCGGGTTTATCAATATATAGAAAGCTTATCTAAGCAAGTTTTCATTTATGACTTATTCCCTCTGCCTTCAACTTTGTAGGGAATCCGCTGTTAACTTGGTACGAAGTGGTCCTTATAGCCGGCAACAATGGCGGGACGAGCCAAAGGGAAAGGAATCTGCTGTAACTAGTGCACCTTCTACCTATGTATCCACATACATGAAAAGGTGAGTTAAAGCTCAGGTTTTGGAGGAAAGTCATAGAAGGCAACACCTAAAATGTAGAGAAATGATAGGCCCATGAAATTCAAAGGGTACTGAAGTAAAAATGACTGAGCAATTCAGTCAGTCTACCTTTCATTGTACATGTGAAGAAAGGGATGAAATGTTCATTTCTCATTGTATTCACTGCTTTGCTCCAAGATAAAACAAAGAAGGAGAAAGGCACCCTGGACCATTATTAGATATATCCAAAACGGGCTGTAGTCCCTGAAAGCTTGTGGTAAAATAAACTATTAATATTAATAACTTATTTCTTTAAAAAACCACAACATTTGGAATAGACTAAAATGGCTACCTGAAAATTTCCTACATGGAGAAAATGATATTCCATGTAGGATGTGGGATAAACCAGTGGAAATTATAACTTTCCTTGAAATTTAGGTAGTCTCATTATAGAACATACAATTTAGGTTACATACAATGCTTTATATGGCTTTTTGGGAACTTAGATTACATGACTCTAGAGCGTATGCAGTTTGCCAGATCATGAGATATGAGGTACAGTAGAATCTCGCTTATCCAACATAAATGGTCCCGCAGAACGCTGGATAAGCAAAATTGTTGGCTAATAAGGAGGGATTAAGGAAAAGCCTATTAAACATCAAATTACATTATGATTTTACAAATTAAGCACCAAAGCATGTTTTACAACAAATTGACAGAAAAAGCAGTTCAATACACTATAACATTATGTAGTAATTACTGTATTTACGAATTTAGCACCAAAACATTGCAATGTATTGAAAAAGAAGTGGATCTGGGTAGGAGACAGACTGCATGGATAATACAGAACATTGTACTTCAGTGAAGGTTGGATAAGTGAAATTCTACTGTATATAGGAAGCAGTGTGACTCTCCCCCAATTTTGTGGACGTTATGCGGTAGTGATTCAGTGAAGTACAAAATTGTCTCTGCATTCCAAAAGTGTTAGAATGATTTTTACCAACTGAGCTTCTATTACACTAAATTATATCTCTTGATTTGGAGTTGAACTTGCCATTAGAATGTCTGAAGCATTTATTGGGTTAATAAGCACAATTTGCCTAACATGTCAGCAAAAGGAACAGTTTTGAATCTACGATAGTTGCTTTGAAGATATTCCATTTGCACACTTGAAATTCTTCTTTGACCATTGGGTAGAATCTAGCTAGTGTTATGCTCATTACCCATAAGCTTTACTAGTTTAGTAAACAATTTGAACTCAATATTCCATTGATAATCTCATCTGCATATAATATTACCAAAACATGTTTGGTGCATGCACCTTCTCCTCTTTCTCCCATTGTCATCAGTAAAGAGTTTCTTATAACTGTGTGACATGCCTTAATTTAATGAACAGTGCTGATATAAGTGATATTTGGGTATTATTCTAGCAATTTTAGCACTTTTTGAAGATAATTTGGCAGATCAGTCCATTCATACCTTTCCATAGCAAAAACATTCATTCACTCATTGTAAAATATGATAACAGAATTGCTTTATTTTAACCAGTTAAAATAAACTTTTCCATTTTCCTCAGAAAGTTTGCCAAAGTTACACCTGAACATTTTTCATAAGCACATAGGGACTTGTTGTATACGCTGGCTCTTCAGGAGGAGGTATTTATGACATCTTCTGGGAAGTGTTACTTCATTCCATTGAATGCATTGCCTTGTGTCAAGTTCCCAGTTATAGATATGACCTATGATTGACCAGAGAGGATTGTTCATCGAAAAAGAAGGATTTGGCTGTAGGAGGAGGTGCCACACTGTGATTTTAGCCTTGAGTCATCTCTTAGAATCCTACTTCCTTTTTAAAAAAACAAAATGATAATAAATCAGAAATGTATAGTGTTTAACATTTACATCATCAAATATCAGTAAATATCGTCTAGTATGAAAGAGTAGTAAATCCTAGAATACGTATTCAGATTAAGAATAATTACTTGAATAAATTCATTGTTTCTGACAGATAACCTGGTGGTCACCCTAAATACAATAAGTAGGAATCAGATGATTAAAATAAGTTGGCTCTAGCATTACATCTGTTTTGCAAGTTGGTCTGATTTAAGACCCAGAAACACTTTGGAAGGATCATAAATGCCTATTTTTAAAATGAATTTTAATGGAAGTTAGATACATTATTTTGCCAGTCCCTGCACACTTTCATACCATTTTTTTCCCTTTCTTTTGCAACTTCTGCTTTCAACTTTTTCTTCTTTTTGATATCTCTGAACATTTCTTCTAGGCCTGGACTCTTTTATTCTCTTCTTTTATCCAGGAGTCATATTTTCTTTTTCTCTTCCTTCTCTTACTATTTCCGTTTCTCTGATCCTTCAAATTAGAGCAGTGTCTTGTTGATTTGTCTTAGCATGGGAAATTATGAGAGTACACGAGTCCAGACTGCATTCCTTTGCAAGACTCATTTCTAGTGTCTACTGCTTTCATTTTTCTAGTAAAGATTTTCTAAACATTTAAACATCACACCCTGTTGATCTGCAACAGTATTTAGCTCTTCTCTGAAGGAAGTGATTTTCTGCTGTTTTACAGTGCTTCATTTGGTAGAAGTAGTGACCTCACCAGTCCCTACATTTCAGCCAATCGTAATGCATCTTCTGCTACCTCACCCACTATCCTTGGTTCATCTACCTCATTGGGCAAAGAGTGGCAGCTTGCCTCTTGCCCCACACCTGTCAATTTTAACACTACAGCATCAGTACGTCAGTATACCAGGTAAGGGTTCATAGCCTATGCAGATCCCATTGAAGAGGGTCTAGCCAAAGATTGCTGGCAAAGCAGTGATTCTTTTTGCTATGACATCTATTTCTGAAACTTCTTCCCAGTTGGTTTAATTTGGTAATTGTTACAGTGTTTGTTCAGTAAGAAATAGTCATCTCATTCATTGACCTCTATATCAAGTTGATTTTTAAAAACTGGAGTGCTCAACCATGTGTCTTTAAGTAATTTCTTGAGTATGATGGAAACAAATACAGAGCACACAGACCAATAAAGACTGTTTTTTCTGCTCTTAATTTGTGTATTACAAAAATATTTTAGCTCCTCATACTTTTTCATAATCTCACTTATGTCATGTCATTAACCTTCAGAATATCCAGCAATTTCATAGAGGTAGTATTTACTTTTTTGGCTGAGTCGATTAACATTCTAACCAAGTGTTGAGAAATATGTGGTCCTCCAGATGTTTCAGGATTCCCATAATCCTAGATGATTGGACATGCAAGTTGAAACCTATGGGAACTGATTATCAGCAGGACATCTGGTTGGCCAGGCCAGAGGTTGTCCACATCTGCTCCAAGCCATCTTCACATAGTTTCTCATTTTCCGCTGAGAAAATACTGAGACTGTAGATGATGAATTAGAGTCTGAATCAACTCATTTTGTTCACTATTACCTCCCTGAAAAGTCTTTCTTTTCAATTTTTCAGAACACCTTACAGGCAACAAACTGACCCTACTGTAGAGAAGAGCACAGATACAATCTCTTCTAGCATTCCGTTAAGTGTCATAACAAATCTCACTGTACCAAGTAGTGCCAATGGTGTTACAACAACTGCCAATTCTAACTCATTGACTGGAACAGAGTCTTCTGCTGGTGATGCCAGGGATCGAAGAAGGTTTGTGATCATTTTGCTAGTTATGAGCTGTGCTTATGCCTGCAACCAGAACCCCTGGTGGTACAGTGGGTTAAACTCTTGTGACAACAGGACTGCTGACCGAAAGGTCAGCGATTCAAATCTGGGGAGCGGGATAAGCTCCCATCTGTCAGTTCCAGCTTCCCATGTGAGGACATGAGAGAAGCCTCCCACAGGATGATGAAACATCCGGGCATCCTCTGGGCAACATCCTTGCCGATGGCCAATTATCTCACACCAGAAGCGATTTGCAGTTTCTCAAGTCGCTCCTGACACACACAAAAAATGCCTGTGACCCAGTCAGCTAATCCAAGGACTCCCAGATAATTTTTAATTTGCCTTTGTTTTACAAATGGCTGAGAAACATCCATAAATTTAGTCTTTCATACTCATTCCTATATTTTTATGAGACTGTTCAGTATAGCAGGAGTACTGTGTTGGCTAAACTATGTTGAAAACATATTTGAATGTAAAAAAGGAACTTTCACCACACATCACAATATTTATAGAAAACTACTTGAGATGTATTATTGCATGAAAATATTTTTGTTCATTAACTTAAAATACATTTACTGAAGACCGCCAAGAACTATTTGTGACTTAGATTAGCTTTGTGGGCACATGTTCTTATAGGATTTACAGTTGTGGCTCCCCCCTCCCCCATACACACAGCATGTAAAAACATGATGAAAATAAATGTATATTATTTTTGCATTGAGATTAACAGTAATCTGAAAGTTGTGGGGTGTTTTTTTTTGTTTTTTTTGTGTGGGGGTTTTTTGTTTGTTTGTTTTTGGCTAAATGATAGTTTAGTAAATGCCTGCTGTACTAGTTTGGAGAGAATTGCAATTCAGAACTTGAGTTGCATGTTTTATTTTCTGATTCATTGATAACTGAGCTGTTCAAACTACTTCTTTTAAATGAGCACTATTCTTTTATATTTAAGTAGTGATCACCTGAGGATTTAAACTGGATTCTGAGAAATGTAGAACTGGACAAGTACTGAATTGAAGCCAGGTAGTTTGAAATGGAAAATTGTAGGCATTTGCCAGATATCACAATATGGGCTTTCAGCACTTAATGGCAGTTTTTACAATAGTGCATTCATCTAATTCAATGTTTCCAAAGCTGCAAGTTTCTCTTAGCAACGGCAACATAAACTCCAACCCTAATATTAGATCATTAAGATGCCACCTCAGTTTGCCTAATTGAAGCAAGTAGATTAAAACTGAAAAGCATTACTAGGTTAGGATAGAGAGTGTAAGCTGTCTGGATTGTCCTTCCTTTCAGAAGGATGTTAATTTACATATTTAACATCGTTAATACAGTTATTGAGTGTTTTTCCTACATGTATTATGTTTTAGCTGCACAAAATCAAAAGCCCCATCTATATGCAACCTCCTGTTCAGCCCTGATTAATAACTTCCCACAATATGTGGGAGCTGCTTCCATTTGATTGAATGCTACTATAATGCTCCAGTAACAACTAGGAGAAACCCTATGGACACGAATGCTATTTCAATTGTCAGTCATACAAACATTACCAAAGCAGTGTTGGGCTGAACAAGGGTGAGGTAGTGTTTGTATAGTTGTGATTATATTTGAAGTGAGCTTAAAAATACTGTAAACTCAGTTATTGTAATGAATAAATGTGTTGTTTCTAAAAGTCTCATCTCAACTATCTAATAGTAAACTATAGCCTCTTGTTGATCAGTGAAATGAAAAGGGTTGTCCGAGTAGTTTGTGTAATTTGGAGAACTTCCTGTTTTTTATGATTGCTCCAGGCTATGGAACAGCTTGAAAACAAGAAATGGCACATACATCAAAAAAGCATAAGATTGGAAAGGTGATAATACACTACCGTGCATACCATATGGCAGTACGTCTCTGCCATCATTGCATCCTCAAACTATACCCTCAAGTAGCCAGCCAACTGATATTTTCTGCTGGCTGTGGGATGCACAGTTGGTGGGATTCTTTTGTGCAAAGAAGAACTCTGTGCCCATAGAAGACTACCGTAATAGTTTAGAAATGCACTTTATGGGCAAAGGGGGTTGAATTTGGGCTAGATCTCACCTTGCAATTGTTACATGTCAGTTTTCAAGAAGTTGGATATTTCATTTTTTTATAAAAAATGGTTTTGTTGTTGGTTTTGATAGTAGCTTCATTTGTTCTTATTGATTACTTGTATTGGTATCAGGTAAATACTTCTTTTTTTTTTCTTTTTTTTATGCTGACCATGTTAGCCTTCTAAAGGAACCCTGTTATTTAGGAAATATAAGAATAGTGACCAAAATGGTAAAAGCTCTGGAAACCATGCCCTATAGTAAGAACCTTAGGTAGTTGGTATTTTTTCCCTGGAGAAAGTCAAGAGGTGACATGATAGACCTGTGCAAATAATTGAAGATGGAGCAGGCTTGTTTTCAACTATTCCAAGACTAGGACATGAGCAATGGATTCAAAGTACAGGAAAAGAGATTTCACCTATACTGTACATTAAGAAGAACTTATGGTGGTAAGAGATGTTTTACAGTGGAACACACTGTCTTGGAGTGTGGTGGAATCTTCTGTAATTTTTTTAATAAGTTGGATAGCTATCTGTCAGGAGTGCTTTGTGTATTCCTCCATGGCAAGGAGTTGGATTGGATGGGCCATGTGATCTCCTCTAACTATATTATTTTATTATTATAACAGTATTTTCTCTTACCTCCAGGGCTTACCTCAGAAAGTTGTAGTCATCAGGAATTCTGGAAAATGAGCTCATCTGAACTTCTGTGTTATTAGACCGTTAACAGCAATGCAGAATGCTCTGCATAGGCTATGAGATAGTGTTATATGTGTGAATTCTTTCAGTTATTCAGCTACATCCACCATTGTATTTGTATTAAACTGATCTCCCTTTCTAGTCTTTGCAGTGATTACTTACATTTTATCAGAGTTGGAATGCAAAAAATAAATAGTTTTTTCCTGGGTAGTACATGATAAAAGCAATAAGCCTGAGATATAAAATGTTCCACAGTGAGTATTATACTCAGTGTTTGTGAGCTATTTCTGAAATCTGTTTCAAAAGATTTCTGTGGCTTTCTATGATCTCAGGCACCACCTATTGTTGGTAAATTGTTCCTGCATTGTGTATTAGTATGGAAGACTATGAGTACATTTGTCATATATTGTGCATAGCTTCAGTCAATATTAGAATCATGGTTCATAAGATCAAATAAATGTATTATATGCCCTGCATAAGTTCAGCTTTTTACTCCATTTTTAAAAAAGAAGTGGGCTTTTCCACTTCTAGTGGACAAATATAATAATATGGCTGCTGTATTTGCCCATGCATTGTGCGTGGAACCTAGGAGAACAGGAACTTGGCATGAAGCAGGGAGGTATGGGGAAGTTGTGGAAGTGGCATAGGATGGGGAGCTTTTTGTGTTGGCTAATTAAAGGAGAAGATGTATGACAGTGAATATGGTTAGTGTGAGGAGGAGAAGAAATCCTCTTCTAGTTTATGGAGAGTTTTGTGGATAAATGTTTATAATTGAATTTACCAACCAAACAGTTCTATTCCTTTTAATAGATCGGAATATGTAGAAGGCAGATTTTCTGCTTTTCTGAAGAGTTGCATGCAGGAATCTGCTCAAACTCAGACTGTTTTCATTATGAGTCCATGGAGACTAAAATCTGGTTTATCCAACTGAATAGCCAAACAGTAGCATCAGTGGGCAGTGATTCATGCATGGTTAGAAAATATTGGACAAATTTGTACTGACTTCATAGCTTATCTTGATTTTGCTAGGAGCTCTTCAGTGAATATTTTATAGAATTTATTCTTCATGAGTTATACTGCTAAGTAGGCTACTTTAGGAAAGGTTTGTCATGATTTAAACTTTTTCGCAGCAGAGAACATTTTCTCACTAGAAAAGAATGAAAGTTAGCATAAAATCAGATTTATATTGGAGTGAAACACTACCAAATATGAGATGTAAGATGCAAAATTTGTTCATCTAATTGGCTTATTTGGTACAGCATATTATTCAAAATCATTTCTGTTATCTGCGTCTAGCCAAGAATCTGCTATTGAGTCCCTACTTTTAACACAATCTTTTTTCCCTACATTTTCTTGTCTTAACCTTGCATATTTATATTATCATATTCCTTGGTATCTGTCTGACACAGTAAATGCTCTGGAATAATAATGGTTTTTTTGTAGTACACTTTCCAGGTTATGGTACAATAAATGATTGTCTGAAGTAGAAATTACAGAAAAGGAAAATAACTTTCTGAAAGCATTAGGCAAATAGTATCTCAAATCATTTAAAGTTTTTTTTTTGGGGGGGGGGGGTTCCTTACATTTAGGTGTGGGCAATATGTGGCACTCCAGATGTTATCACCCTGTAGTCCCAAGTCAGCTGTTCTTAGAATACACAGTAGTGGCAAGTGATGTAAGTTACAGTCCAATACAATCTTGTGAACCATTCCATCCCATTTTAAAAATTTATAATTTAACTAAACACTAATGCATCAGTGTGTGTTTTTCTTTCCTCTTATAATATTTTCCAATTGTTTGGAATCTTTTAGCCTGAAAGGTTTGTCTTAATAGTATTGATTTTTGTAAACCACTTTGGCTTGATTTTTTGGGCAGCAAAGTAAGGTAAAAGTGTGTGACAAATAATAATTCTATTCTTGTTAAAATAGCATGTAGACTACAGTGTTTATCTCCAATATACTGAGATTGTAATCGGTATCACAATAGCTTGAGTTGTTCAATTCATGGGCTTCTAAGGAATGCTGATATAATAGATAAGATGTTTCTTGGGACAGTTATGAGATAATGTAATCATTTCTAAGATCTACAAATAGTAAAACTGAAATTCTTACATCTCTTTGTAAGATTGTGCTTGCTGAGTTATCATAGTTATCCTTTCTCTGACCAAAAACCTGCAAATTGCAGAGTGTGAACCACTTCATTTGGCAAAACAGTCTGA